CTAGACCCAGAGTTCAGGCTCCGCCTGGTGAAATAGGGAATTATTTCGGACAGTTTAATGTTCGCGGTGAGGACATTACCAAGGATAGGAGAGGCCTTGCCGCGAACGCAGGAAGGAGTGGTGCGTCATGGGCTCAGGTGGTGCAACGGGACGCCAACGAGATGTGTGTCGCCCCAGAGCGAGGTACGGCTAGAGAAGTCGTGGATAATATCCTGCTTTTATTAAGAAGATTCCCTGCGGCGCGAGATTGTCTGATGGATGCATTGATGCGTGACGGGCGCGAGGAGTGTGCGGGGCGGCCGCGGGATTATGGTGATGATCGAGGTACGGAGGATGTTAGCGTAACGTACAGTAAGAAGACAAGAGAGCATGTAAATATGGGCCTGGGGGGACCTTCCCTCCCCCCCTCAGCATAATTCAACCTTCTGCTCTGGAATTGCCGAAGGTATCGAGGCTGCAAGGAGGAAATGTCCATACGTAGCTCGAAATACGATGTTGTTGTCCTAACGGAGACCAGATGTTCTGGTCCCGTACAGGTCTCCCTTCCTAACTTTAAAACCGCGAGTGGCAGGAACAGGCTCGGCAGTGGATGGGTATCAATATCCCTCCGTAATTATGTGGAGTTTACCGTCGTTCCCATTCCGGGTGCCCTCCCTGTGGGATACGATGTCGTTTGCGTGAGAACAAATAACCTATCCCGTAATATTAATATTGTTGCGGTTTACAGACATCCAAACGAACCGATGGCCAGACGCGATTTCAGCCCGATCTTTGATGCCATGGGTGACAGCAGTTTAGATACTATCCTCCTTGGAGATTTAAATGCGAAAAACATGGCGTGGAACTGTCCTGCCACGGATCGCAGGGGCGATCTTCTACATGAAATAATGGACGACGCGGAATATATCTGCGTTAATTCGGATACTAGCTCTCGCAGTGGCTCCAGGGGACAACGAGACACTAACCTGGACCTCCTCTTTGGTTCGGCTCGCATTGCAGGAAATATCACATACCAATAGATGACTGACACATGGGGAAGTGACCACTTCCCTATTGTCTTCTCTTTTGGCGGAGGCCCGACAATATACAAGAAGATCACAAATCGTCTCTCTGCCAAAAAGACGGACTGGCAACGCTTCAGTGAATTGGTGGAGAGTGAGATGGACTCGTCCTTGTCTTCTTGCCGGAGCCTGCTATATGAGTATTTTGAGCAATATTACTCTTTATTTATTGATATCATCAGGAATGCGGTCACGGTGGCCTCGGGCAGACGCGCAGGCAATACCCCTACTTTCATTCCCCAGGACAAAAAGAAACATTCTCACAAATGTTGGGATGCTGATTGCGACCGTGTTATTCGGAACAGAAGGTCGTCTTTGTCTGCCTTTAAGAAGTCAAAGAGTCTTCACGACTGGTTGGCGTACAAGAGGGATGCTGCCATAGCGAGACGCACCATCAAGTCTAAGAAGAAGGTTAGTTTTGACAAGTTTTGCAGTGGGATCGACAGGTTCACGAGTCTGTCATATGTTTGGAGTACCATGCGTATAATGAAGAACGCCAGAAGGAATTTGGAGCGGAACTCCTGGCCTACTAAGAACAGGGAGGACGTCATCAGATCCTCCATTGATGAACTTGCCCCTCCGTACGTGGGGGTTGACCCTTCTACGGACTTCGGCGAATGTCGCCCGGAAGAGGAATTGGAGGAATCCTCGTTCTCTCGAGCGGAACTGGATAGGGCGATGGAGATGATTAGGAGGGATTCGGCTCCAGGCATGGACGGTGTGGAGTACCGCATGATCAGGGCCCTCCCTGAGTCAGCTAAACAGTGCATGCTTGACATTTTCAACAGGGTCTGAGCCACGGGGGTGCTACCGGAAGAATGGCTGGATTACCAAGTAGTTTTCATAGATAAAGTTGCCCGGGAAAAGGTCCGCCCTATCTCGCTTTCCTCGTGCATCGGGAAATTAATGGAAAGGATGATTAACAAGAGGCTGGTCTGGTGGGCCGAGAGGGAGGATAGATTCAGTCCGTCGCAGAGTGGCTTCCGCAAAGGCAGGTCCTGCGCTGATAATCTTGTTAGGATCGTAGCGGATATAAGAATGGCCCTGTGTGCGGGCAAATTTGCTCTCGCTGCTTTCTTGGACGTCTCCTCGGCGTATGACTGCGTGGAGTATCGTATCATGCTGGCGCAATTGATCGCACTAAATTGTCCCCCCACCATAGCCAGATTCGTAAGCAACTGGCTATACCGGAGAAAGGTACGATTTATAGTGAATGCTCATGAACTCATAGATCGTTACGTTTACAGGGAACTCCCCCAGGGTGCCGTCTTGAGCCCGGCACTGTATGCGTTGTACACGCGGGACTTGTGCGCCGACCTTCCGGAGAGCGTGGAGGCAGTTGAGTTTGCCGATGACATTAGCCTGTATGTCCGAGGGCCCAACCGTGAGCGGAATCGACTCCTTTTGCAGCGTGCTGTGAACACCATTGCTGTCCGACTTCGCAACATGGATCTAGATCTCGAGCCCAAGAAGACCGTCCTCATAGAGTTCTCGAGAAGCGGATTCATAGACCGCCAGATGAAGATTCGAGTCGGGGATTGCGATATCGTCAATTGCGGGGCTGCCAAATTCCTGGGTGTGTGGCTAGACAACAGCTTAAATTTGACAAACAGGTGCAGGAAATCAGGGGCAAAGTGAGCCGGCCAACTCCATCATTAGATATCTGTGTGGTGTTTCCAAGGGTATGGAGGTGAACACGGTCCTGATGATATACAAAAGCCTGGTGAGGTCAATTACGGATTATGGCAGCTTCGCTTTTTTCCCCAGAGAGCATTCGTTACAACTCAAATTGGAGAGAGCACAATTTTTGGGAATCCGGACCGCGTTGGGATACAGAAATTCCACGCCAAATAATGTGCTAATCGCTGAGGCTAAAGTCAGATACTTGAGAGATCGTGCGACTTTACTGGGCACGAATTTTGTAAACAAGGCAATGGCATATAATCGTAATGGTCTATGCGACAAGCTACGCACCTTGTTGGACGGAGAGAACTATGTCCGATATAGACAACCTGCCTACAGGCCCTCGCTTTTGTCGGAAATATGGAGATCTGCTCGGCACAGACAGCTCATTGGTCCTATGGATAAATTTGAGATTTTTCGGGGGTCATTTGGGGCTCACACTTTCAAACCTACGATTGATCTGTCGACTAGAGTATTGAGGAAGAGCAAGAAATTTTCGGATCAATCTCTCATCGACAAGATCAGGGAGAAACATGATCTGGGGGTGGACCCTAAGATTATATTTACGGATGGCTCATTTGGCGACTCATCCGTATCTACTGGAGCCAGCATAGTTTGTGATCAGGAGGATGTGTACAATATGAGTCTGCCGAAGCTATGTTCCTCTTTCACCGCTGAGGCATTTGCTTTTTATTCTGCGCTTCTCCTTTTGTGGCACCAGAGACAGTGGAGAAAGGGTGAGGCAATGATTCTGACAAATTGTCAGGCGGTTGTTAAATCTATTCATAACAAACACTTAAATGTACACAAGAATAAATACATCACGGAATCAAGAATCCTTATATACAATTTAGAAAGATTCAGTGGTAAGAGGATCGTTATTGCATGGATTCCCGCGCACGTGGGAATTCTGGGTAACGAACTGGCCGACGGATTGGCTAAGCAAGCGGCAGAAGAGGAGGCGGATCCCACCATCACCGTTCCGGTGGGGGACCTACTGGCGGTGGTAAGGAAGGAGACATGGGAGGCCACCCAGTCATCGATTTTGCGAGAAGCACAACACAAGGGCGCCATCTACTTCGACTTATTTTATGACAGAGAAGCCACGAGACCGTGGTTCAGTAAGGTTAACCCGTTGTGGTCACACCTCTTAAAAATAACGTAGTGGTCACACGGGGTCCAATGGACCCCACAACAGTTTCCATTTGCGTTCTTTTTGATGTATCGACTCAAACCTTGAACTGGAATTAATTTATGACTTCCTCTTGATAATCCAATAATTTAAAAAATTTTTTTATGTTGAAAAAACGCGAGAAAAAAAAATTTTTTTCGAGAAATTTGACTTTTTTTACAAAAATATTCATCAAAATTTTTTGAGATAGAGTAAAAAAACTTTGTGCGTTTTACTTTCAAAATAGTATACTTTTGGAAAAAAAAAAAAAAAAAAAAAGCCTGGGGTCCACTGGACCCCATGTGACCACAACGGGTTAAAGCGGAACGTTACTTCATTACATTGATCAACAAACTAAGAGCAAACCATTATAATCTGGGTTCATCGCTTAAACGCAAAGGATATATCGACAGTGAGAGATGCGAGTGTGGCTGCGAGTGTGAGGACATTCATCATGTGTTGTTGAGATGCCGCTTGTATGATGAGCGAAGAGTCGTTTTGGATTCGGAACTAAGAGAGGCCGGATTTACGGAAGAGATAGACATTTTCAGACTTATTGAGACTAAAAATTGGGACGTGCTGTATATTATTTTTAAATTCATTAAGTCCATGGGCAAAGTGATATAGTGTTTGTTTTGACTTTTTCGGGACTAGACAATATGTGCCAATTGCCTCGTGCATAAGGCACCCCTCCGTCCTCATCCGAGGACACCAACAAAAAAACCCCCTTTAACAACCTTAACAGGAATATCCTAAATGTGATTATAAATTTTTTGAATGATTGTAAGTTCGATTTATAACTGATTGATATGGAGCTTGGCTCTCCTCTTTATCGACACGTGGAGGAGTAACAGAAGAAATAGGCAAAAGGGCGACTCTTTCCCCGGAGAGTCCCCCAGATTTCTTGTTATAAAGCGTGATACTTTGGTTCCTGTGGAACCAGCAATCCATTCGGGGCAGAAAAAAGAAGAAGAAGAAGAACCTAACACGGTAGTGTCTCACCTGTCTCGCGTCAAGTACGCGCGGAGCGATACCGACCGTGACTCTTTACGCGACGCGACGATTAATATTTTTTCTGATTTTCTGATTCAAGGTAATTGTTTTATTTATTTACATGTAATTATCCTATTATTATACGACGCGAAGCAAGACCGCACCGTGACTCTTTTACGCGACTATAAGTGCATGTGACAGGAATTATAGTGGTTTACGTTTACGTGAGTATTACTTCTGTAGTAATTTATACGAACGATATCATCGTAGTTACTATAAAATCTCCTGTTTATGCGGAGGAATTATCGTATCGTTCGTAAGTTACTACAGACTTAAGTAACGCTCGCGTAAACGTAGTATAGGTTAGATTACCGGCTTTTTATTTTACATAAAACGCGAGATTCACTTATGTATGCAAGTTTAACGCCTATTGAGTTAATATGAAATAATTTTCCTAAATGTAAAAATAACACAATGTTATATATGCGGTTTGGCGTGAACATATATCGCGATAATAGCCAAGGTGATCGAAGAAGTTGTGTATAATGTTCCGATTCAACGGCCCCTGTCCCTGGTTGAGAGTGTTAATAATGACATTAATATCTCTCACACTGTCAAGCCAAATTGGCTCTTCGTTCAGCTTCCGACTCATTCATCATTTCTCCTTTTGCAAAATTTGGAAAACAGCATGATGTATTGGTTGTTATAACAATGAATTGCTGCCAGTTCCAGATGTATTGAACAGTAAGTGATATAATCTTAACACGTTGAATAAAAAAGAAATCAGGATATTCTGATTATACAATACAGTTTTACTTTGTAGAGGATGATTACGTGGCTGTATATTGGAGCGACAAATGGATTAAAGGATGCATTGAACGTCCAGATCCATCGGGAGAGAGAAGCGTAGTACGATTACTCGATCACGGTGGTTACTGGCAGTTTAGTAATTCGTAATGTAGGCCATTGATATATAATTATTTGAGCCTACCCTTCCAAGCCATCGAAATCTTTTTAGCAAATATTCAGCCAAAGAACGGTAACTATATATTGACGTATACTATTCTTCCAAATTATACGTACATCTCTACTCAAAATTATTTATTTTTGGATATATAATTATACTTTGATGTTACTCCTTTGCAGGTAAATGGTCGACAGAAGCTTACAATGTGGTACAAAATTGTTCCTCAAAGGGAGTTGGTGCTCAAGCTCAGATTGAAAGTCGCATTCAAACTAATATTTATGCAAATATTTATTTTATGATACAAAATTATGGGGTAAGTAGTTATTATTTTCCAATCTTCGAGAATCTCTTTGCAGATGCGCAAATTAATTAAAATTGATTTTTTTAAGCTAATTTCCATTGCTGAAAAACTGGTAACGAACGGAAATGCTGAACAAGTAGCATGGGATCAGATGAAGCCAGAAACACTTGAATCCATCTGTACATAAGAGTTGTCAAGAAACTCTACAATTTTTACGCATAATTCGCGATTCTTAGTCAGTATGGACTAGAGTTTAATACAATCGCCATCATTGATGATTCCCTTTAATCGCGTCAAAATTGATTATTTCGCTTTTTGACTTCGTTTTTTACTCATGTTGTAAAATAGTTTTCCGATTGTGTAGAATATTTATATTTAGAAAGAAAGAAATTTATAAAGATTGCTATATTGATCGTAGAGTAGAGAAAACAATAACTTAACATTTTACAAAGTAGTGTCACATTTAAACTAGAACATTTTATCGAATAACTCAGACAAATTAGGAAATCGTTTCTACGTTTTCTTGTAAATTTTTTTTGTAAAAAAACTTGGTGCTGCTTTTTTACTCCTGTCGCATTTTTTCCTATATTATGTTTATTGTTTTTTTATTCAATCAAAAATGTTAGTACTAATGTTTAAATTTTAATGTTTAAATTTCAAAGTCTAACAGCGCCAAGTTTTTTTACAAGAAAAATTTATTTATTTTGTTTTAATTAAATATTTTTATTTTGTACTGTTACTTCTTTAATTCTTTGTAATTAAAATGATTCTTTGTAATATTAAAAATTTGTTAAAGAGAATTAAGAAGCTATTACCACTTGGGTTAGAGTAGGAAGACCCTTGAATAGGAATACGAAGATACCACTTGGGTTTTATTTCTTTAAAGTATAGTTGCATAACAATTAATTATCTTTCAAAGCAATTTACATTTTCTCTTTACAATTGGCGTAATTTAATTTGAAGATTTCACATCTTTTTTTGAAATACATGGCACTTGAGTTAAGTTAGGTAATATAATTTTGTGATAATATAGTCGTAAATAATAATTCGCAATAAGAAGAGGCTGCTTTATGTACGAATTTGTTTTGTTAATAATTTTTTAGCAAACAATGACCGATGGCTAAAACCTTCTGGAGGTCACTTTGGGCTGCGTCCGAAAACTTTACTCGGGTGCACACCGCGTCGTTCTGTCTTTGTCACTTACTAAAAATTGAACAAATACAGAACGCGCGCGACGCTGGTGTGCACCCGAGTGAAGTTTTCGAACGCAGCCCAAAGTTAGGGCCAAAGTACATATGACAGTCGTAGTCGTGGACGTAAGTAACGCACAAGCTTTGGCGTATCCTGATTTGTCAGGTTGAGGACTACGACCGTCGTATATCGCTACACGGAGAAAATTTTATAGTAAATATTACTATGGTGTCGCACTAGCTGCGGACCATCGAGGAATTTTAAGTTAAATTACTATGTTTATGGTAAAAATTACGTTATTTAATCGTTTTTAAAACAATAATTATAGTATTTTAACTTGAAATTCCTCGATGGTCCGCAGCTAGTGCGACACCATAGTAATATTTACTATAAAATTTTCTCCGTGTATGCCATGTTATGTGCTTTAGCTCTTAATAGTAATTAAACTCTTGTATGTTTATATCATACATAGAGCGCGATAGAGAAAAGAACACAAGTATAACCAAGATGTAAAAGATATAATACATATAAAAAAAAGAATAAAACTAAGAATAACAAAATGGGCACAGAAATAAATAAGATATTCTCAAATAAATACAAAATATAACTAAACGTCAATATATACGTTTGTTTCTCCCAATCATATTTTAAGTCTGTTTATAGATTAACTGATTTTTATCTCACAAAAAATAAAATAATATACAACATACAATATACAACATATGTCCTAATAATAATTTAAAAAAGCCCAATTAATTCTATGCTTGCGTCACAGAGAGCAATGGAGTAAAGAATACAAGTATAAAGCCCCTTGCACAATGCTAGGCAACATGCAATAGGAACAGGGAATAGAAATCGAAAATCATATATAAATGCAGAATAAATAGTGACACATACTACGTTTACGCGAGCGTTACTTCTGTAGTAACTTATGATAATTCACCCGTTTATGCGGAGTAAATTATCGTAAGTTACTACAAAATCCCGTTTACGCGAAGGAATTATCGTAAGTTACTACAGAAATAACGCTCGCATAAACGTACAGGCAATAGACACAAAGTTTCCGTCACGTTGGAAATTCTGTGCCTATTGCCAGTTGCCAACCAATCATAGCATTCGAATTTTTTAGATTGTAATTAACGATTTTTTTGTTATTTCCTGTTCCTATTGCCTGTTGCTTGGCATTGTGCAAGGGGCTTAATAAAAGTGTAAAAGATATATGAAAAATATATATGAAAAAAAAGTTAAGCTAACGATAACTAGATGTGTACGCTTTGGTAGCTGTTTCACGCAAGCGCTTTTCGCGTCTAGAAAGTACAAACTATCTACGTCAGGTTTTCCTACAATTCCTACTCATTCTCGAGAGAAAACTAATAAAGTTTCCAGACTTTACGAAGTCCTCCATATTTCCTGTGAGTGACAGTATTGCATCAGATAGGAGATTTGCATCGAGCTCATACTCAAACGACAAAAAGAAAAAGCGAGAGAGAGAGAGAGAGAGGGGGGGAGAGAGAGGGAGAGAGAGAGAGAGAGAGAGAGAGAGAGAGAGAGAGAGAGAGAGAGAGAGAGAGAGAGAGAGAGAGAGAGAGAGAGAGAGAGAGAGAGAGAGAGAGGAAGGAGTAAAGGTAGACGGGTATAGATGCATATGTCGTAGTTTTGCGCGCGCGCAAAGATAGGTACACAACTGGTACGAGGCAGAGAGAGATGGAGTCAGATAGAGAAATGTAATGGAAATGTAAGAAGTGCGAACGCATTAACGCAGTATGTCATAACGGACTCTGCGTGAAAATGAGAGAACACGAGGACAAGCCATACATATACATGCACATATACGGAACGAAGCGCGAGCTCCCGTGGCTATCGTTGATCGTTGTTGCTGCCGCCACCCGCCACTACTATCACACTCTACGACCTCTACGTTGCGCTACGCTCTCCCGTCTGTTTACTCACCAGCATCTTTTAGAGCTCCACGGCGTTAATTCAATCGGATTAGATGCACTTGAAAGACATCAGAACAAACGCACGCAGATCCTTACATCGTCTGTTCCGATAACGAGAATCGCGTGCAGGCAAAGCAGCAGTATGGCACAGACTGACCCGCTTCGAGAAAACGGCACTCTCCGTAGCACTTCGCGACACGAATGCGTATGAGCCAGAGCTTCTGTTCCCAGCCCATTTCCACTTTAACGAGGCTATTTATCAGCCGACTACTCGGCCGCTCTCATTGGATCATAACGCGACGATCCATACGTCGTCGCGTACGTCAAAAGGACCGTCCGGAGTTCCGGAGTACGTTACAAACGTACAGCGCAATACAGACCCATTCAGTGCCGTATGTATGTATGTACGTATGTAAGTATGTATAAACACCGTACGTGGATTATCGCCGAACGGTGAACACTCGGAAATAACGGGCGACTTCTTTCTCATTCGCACTCTACTACGCGAAACGCGAATGCACGCCACTCGAAGAGATTCAATACCGAAACGGCGCGTCGAATATGCGCCTTCACAGGGTGACAGACGAGACGATAGGGATCGGCAGGACAGGGATGTGCAACAGCGATGAACGACTGAACTGACTGAAGTTTTACATTACACCGGGCGCGTGCCAACAAAACGCCATCTACCTGTACATACATACCTATTCTTGAAATTGTTCGTTATGAAACGAATACGTTTATGAACGTAATGCTGGGTCTACAATGCGAGTCGCAAAGTCGTGAGTCGCAAGAATTGACTAATCACAGTCGAATTTGAGGAGAATAATCGACTGTGATTGGTCAATTCTTGCGACTCACGACTTTACGACTCGCATTGTAGACCCAGCATTAAGGCCATTGCACGTTAAGGGCCATCTACAATGAGTCGCAGTCGTAAGTCACTCGTAAAAGTCGTAAGAAATTGACCAATCACAGTCTATTATTCTCTTTGCGGTCGAAGAATAATAAACTGTGATTGGTCAATTTCTTACGACTCTTGCGACTGCGACTCATTGTAGATGGCCCTTAACTGTGCACTAGTGCAAGCGCCCGAATTCGCTAAAAGTTTTAGTCATAAGGCCCGATCTACAATGGATGTCGGAAGTCGGAGTCGTAAGAAATTGACCAATCACAATCTATTATTCTTCTTGCGGTCGAAGAATAATGAACTGTGATTGGTCAATTTCTTACGACTCCGACTTCCGACATTCATTGTAGACCGAGCATAATCGTAATGCCCGTTCTAGACTGGAGGATGAGCCGACTCTCGGCTCATCCGCCTTCTATAGTGTACGTGACATAAACTATACATAAACTATAGATTTTTTCCCGTCTACACCACTCACTCGGATGAGCCGAGAGTCGGCTCATCCTCCAGTCTAGAACGGGCATAAGGCCGTAAGAAAATAGACCAATCACAGTCGATTATTCTCCTTAAGCTCGAAGAATAATCGAGTGCGATTGGTCTATTTTCTTACGGCCTTACGATTATGACTAAAACTTTGTTACGTGCAATGGCCTTAAAAGGTGCGATTTAGAGCT